GTGTATAAGAGACAGTCCCTCCCTCCCCCTCCACCCACCCCGCAGCAGGCTGCTAATATTTTATTTAAAATATCTTTAGGAAGCGGAGGGCCGTGATGTATCGGATGTATTGAGAAAATGCTAATGTGTAATAGCGTGTGTCAGGGGCCTCGTTCATCACCCCGCGCCGCCTTCTGGGGGATCCATATCTAATTAACAGTAATGAATGAGGGAGCCCACCTAATGACAGCCCGCCAGTTTGTTATGGAAATGAGGCAATCCCATTAGGCAAAACACTTAATTAAACAAACGCTGGGAGTGGAGGCCAGAGCAGGATGGGCACAGGCCCTTTGGGGGACCAGGGGGCCCTGGTACCCAGCCCCCCACATGCCAGGTGGGGGGCCCAGGGGCTGCTGCGGCCCCATAGAGCCAGGTGCCCATGATCAAGTCCAGCAGCAGCAGGCTGGGGGAGCCGAGAGGGTCTCACTGGGGGGTAGGGGGGGGCCTGCCAGGGAAGGGGCAGTGGGGCAGTTCGCATTCCGCTCCACATCGATGGGCGCAGAGGCCAAACACAGATTTCCAATCAAACGTGTGTACTTGGCTCCTGCTCTATTGACACTGAAGCAAGAAGGGCTCAAGGTTAATTCCTTATCAATATCCTATTGTCAGCTCATTCATCACCCAGGGAGGGCAGGGGCTGCCCAAGCTCTCCCAGCCTCAGCCCCCATGGGTTTGGGAGGGTGACCGAAGGATGCTCTGTCCTCCCCAGCCCTGCCTGGGCTGCCCATCTCTGGCCAGCGGTGCTGGGGTGTGCTTGCAGCCATGTGAGATTGTAGAGATGAGGGCATGGGGGCTCAAGTTCAAAGGGAAGGGAAATGGGGGAATGATGGGCAGGCAGAGCAAGCCACTTCCCAGTGAGGCCCTGTCTCCCTTGCCTATGCCCAGTCTGGCTGCAGGAGCTGTGCGGGGGGTGGGGTGGGGGTGGTTCAGCCATTGGCTGTAACCCCCATTTGTGCTATCCTGTCTCCTAACCGCCCCCAAGCCCTCAGCTCTGTATGCTGGGGGTTCCTGCCAGCCTTTTCAGAGAGCAACACTAAGCTCAGCTCCCTTCCCAGCACTGGGGGGCTACAGGGAACCCAAGGGAGCTCCACAGTCCAGATTTGTGGAGTTTCCAGAAGTAGGACCATGGTCTGTCTGACCACAATATTGCAGATTCACTTAAAAAATATAGCCCTCTCTGGGTGATGGAGTGGAAAATGGTGTGACCTGATTTGCTGATGCTGGAAGGTCAGTAAAGCTATTTCTGCCATTAGACTTTTGTTTTTAACATTCAGTTAAAGCTGAGAGATAGGATCTAGTACAACTTCTCAGAGCAGGCAGCTTTAGAGCTGGATGCTGGTCTACATTAACTCACAATCTTTACTGCTCATCATTGGAGTTTGTTCTTGCTGGTCTTTTTACTCGCCTCGAGAGAATGATTTTTGTGGGAGATGCTCTCAGGCACGCAGAAGTGCTGGGCCAAGCTCTGCTGTTGAGTTCTTCTCCAGCATCTACTCTGCTTGTCTCCTAAACTAGAAATCTCTCCACGCAGGAAAGAGGGGTCCTGCTGCCACCTCGTGGAGCGCTGCTCCTTCCCGGGCCGGAGCATCCCACACCCGGCCCGGCCGCTGCGGCAGTCAGGGAGGTTGGCACCGCTGGCCTCCACCAGCTCCCTCCCCCATCACCTCCATGGGGAGATGGGGACCAGCCTCACACCTCCCAACCTCGTTTTCTAGGAAACAACACCTGGGGTTAGACTGCTCCGTTCCATTTCTGGCTGTCCACACTCTTCTATCAGTGGCAGAGCTTCGCACATACGCCTGCAGCATCCCAGCACACACAAAGATGGAGCCTCGGCCCATACACAATTTGCCACCTCAGCACACAAAAGACTTATTTTAAAACCTTTACCAGGTGTGGACACAGGTCAGTCTTCACCCAGGGGCTTGGTTTGAATTACTTGCACTGCAAGATGCTCCCCCCTGCTCCAAAACATGACCCCCAGCTGGGCTGGATCATGCCTCAGGTCTGCCCAGGTCCCCACCACAGCCTCTCCCGGTGCCACAGGGCACCCTGGCAGCACAGACACCCTCCAGCCCAGGCACACGACCACCCTGATTGCTAACTAAGAGGCACTTTTTTTCTTTTTTAAAACCTTCCTGTAACATCACCACTGCCTAGGGAGAGAAGGCAGCACAGGGGAGTGAGGCAGCAGCCAGCTCCCTCACAGGAAACACAGATGGCTTTTGTTGGTGAGGAGAGGTTAATCTGCACTCTTGCAAAATAAACCTAGCTGGGAAATGTGCAATGGCAGCAGCTGGCCCCTGGCCATCCTCCTCTCCCACCACCGCTGGTGTTTCACCCACACTGCTCCACCGTCCATGCATGAGGGCTGGACTGTAGGATAAGTTGCTCCAGGCTCCCCAAGCAGAGATCGCTGGTGCCACAACCTGCTCCCAGACCACTAGGCAAACCCAAAGATGCTGCATTTTGTCTCCCAAAAATCAGACCTACAATACTCCTCCCACAGATCATCTGAGATTTACTTGGACTGCCAAAATATCCCAACCTTTGGCCTTCCAGTGTTCAGACTAAAGCTCTTTAGGAACACAAGTTGCACCAAACTGTGACAGTTTAGCAAGGATTAAAGGTTTGAGGCTGGGTTTTTTTAAATCCAGTAGTGCTTGGATCAGTTCTTGGCTGTGTGCCCTCAGGCTCCAAGTTATTAACCTTCTGTTTCAAATAACAAGCAACAGAAATAAAGAGGGCAGAAGGTGGTGGGGGAAACATACATGCTGTATAGGTAAGAATAGGGCAATATATCACACAATACATTTAACACACTGCTCATAATCATCATTAAAACTTGCTGCGACATGGAAAATGAAACCCACCCAGAAGACTGGTGCTGATGACTTCCTCTGTAAATCACTGGCTCACTCAAGATCCCTCCTCCCCTTAGAGAGGTGTGTACACAAATTACCCCTGAATTTCAAGCGTTTTGCAGCAGTGGAAATGCCTGTGAGCTGGTTCCCACTTGTGTAGCACGGGGCACCTCTGACAGTGGAGCTCCTGCAGGTAGCACCCTGCCTGCTGCTCTGGAAAGCAGAGAGGTGGAGCAGAGCTGGACTGAGCTGGGGGAGCAGCAATCCCGTGGCAGGGAGCTGAAAGTGGGGATGGAAGGTGTAGCTGACACGTGTCCCATCGCACAGGGATAGAGGGTTTAGCTCCAGCTCCTGCCAGCCACACTCCACCACAGCCTGAGTCCTTAAACAGAAGTTCAACACCCACAGCAATAAACAGGAACAGCAGATTCCCAGTCCAGCACAACTGTATTAATTCAGAGGTGTATATTATGGAGTGTTTAACTGTTCTGTAAATACTGAACCCATAGAAACCAGCATGAGGGCAAGAGCTAGTTAAATAACCTTTATCACCTCTGCTCCCTAAGAGTTTTCACAGTGCCACAAGCAGGCTGGATGCTCAGAAGATGCAGCCCAGCTCTCCAGGAAGACAAACAGATCACAGCTCAGGAGTTACGGCACTGAAAGCCCAAAACAGGAGCCTGCTTTAAACAGCTGGGAGATCTCTGATGGGCTTCCTGGGGATAGGGGACCATGTCTGGATTTTACAGGTCCAAACCCTAGGAACAAGAATTTCTTCATGAAAAGTGGCAGGCTGAAGGCTATCTTACCGCAGTGTAGCCCTCACAGCTCATCTTGGTGGAAGGTGAAACTGGGATTACACTGACAGAAGACTGGACCCCAAACAACAAGAGCTCCTGTACCTGGAACCAGTTTTTGCTTTAAAAAAATTGAAGACAAACCAGGTCATCAGCACCTTTTTCAGTTAATTCTCAGCTATCTTATACAACCCAGTCCACCCTTTAAAACCATGCCTAACATGGGGTAATTCCTTGCTTTAAATGAGTGTTGCCACACTAGCCTGCAAAACATAGTTGTGCTGGCCACTGACCACACCTCACTCCGTGCTTCCACTTCTATGAGGCATTGTGGTTCTTGTTTTAAACTTCCAAATTATTTTAGTGCTTCCCAAGAGACCTCCCTCTGCATTTTGTTTGAGAACAGCAAGTGCTTTGTAACTGTGGAAGACAGCACCCTAAGGGTGGGCAAGACAAGCAAAGAGGCCCACAGGCAGCAGACATCTATAAAAAGCCTCCTGCTCTTTACATTCCTACCTCTTGAGGGCAGACCCTGTTCAAACAGGCCCATATCACAGCCCTCCAGAGCCCGATCCTGGCAACCTTTGGGAATTTAAAGTCGGCTAATCCTGTCCGCCACATTATGCATTAGCTTGCAATGCCATGACATGGCACAAATATATTAGCAGGCTCTGCCCTCTTTATCTCCGCTCCTCTCCCAAATAATCAAGAAAACCCAAACCCAAAAACAGCTGAAGTACAGTGCAATGAGCTACTTTTTCACTAGGTGGAAAGAAGTCATTTCTGGTATTATTACTAGTACCCACTGCACAGACAGCAAAGACTGATCATCTGAGGAGAACATTATGGGAAAAACATCAAATTTCATGATCATTTGTGGTCTGGAAGTGATTTAAGAAACACCCAGTATAAATCATAGCTCCAAGAGACAGTTTCATTTTTCTCTGCAGTTCCACCTTTCTATTTCTGAGGTCTTTTGGGTTACAGCTGTGCCAATTTTCCTGCATTTTCAGATGCACAACATAGGCTGATCAAAGACACACAGTAATAAATGAGCAGTTCTCCAAGAAAGAAAAATTACTCAGGAAAACACACAAAAGACTGGAAGGAAGAGAAACAAAACACAAGACACATTCAAAAATGTTAACTTCAGTCTTTTGGACTGTCATGGTTTGAGCCCAGAGGGCAACTGAGCACCATGCAGCCACTCACTCCCCCCTTCCCCCCCAGCGCTGGAAAGGAGAAAATAAAGCAAAAGGCTCAGGAATCGAGATAAGGACAGAGAGGGATGATTTGTCCATTATAGACACAGGCAAAAGACAGACTCGTTAAGGGAAATAAAAGAACATAAATTAAATTCAGATGCTAACAACACTAACAGAGTGGGGCAGTAAGAAGCATTATCATAACTTAAAACCACCTTCCCCCCACCCAGCTTTGGTCCCAAATTCTCCATCTCCTCCCCACCAGAAGTGCAGGGGGCAGGAAGTGAGGGGTGCAAGTCAGTCCCCCTTCTTCTTCCTCCTCGAGGAGTGGGGGATGGGATGGAGGTGGGGATGGACAGACTTGCATTCCTCCTCTGATCCAGTGTGGTTCCCCTCTCAAGGGAGACAGTCCTCCGCGACCTTCTCCAACATGACTCCTTCCCATGGGCTGCAGCTCTCCCCAAACTGCTCTGGCATGAGGATGGGGCCCCACACAAGCCACTGGTCAGCATCTGCTGCACCAGTGACCTCCATGGGTGGCAGGGGGGCAGCCCTGCCCTCTCACCACAGGCTGCAGGGGGGCTCCACCAGCGCTACTCTTCCCCTTTCCTTTTCCTTTCTTTCACTGACCTCAGTGTTTGCATAGCTGTCCTCCTCACAACCCCCAACTCCTCCTCCCAGGCTCCCCTTCTTCAATACGTTATCGCAGAGGTGTGGCCACCATCACTAACTGGCTCAGCCTCGGCGCAGAGGCAGGTCCAACTTGGAGCCAAGGGAGCTTCAAGAAGCTTCTCACAGGGAGCCACAGCTGTAAACCCCTCCCCTGCTATCAAAAACCCTGCCACTCACTCAAAGTCAGCACAGTTGAAGAACACAAAAGTTATCACAAACATCTGAGCTCTCACTGAGGACCAGAGCTTTGACTGCTCTATCTCAGATATTTAATGGGACCAGATGACAGTCTGGTCATACTGCCCTGCACACACCTTTTCCAGGTCTTACACTTGGTTTCTCAGCCTGATCTCCAACAAGGAGTATAACGAGACCTGGGATGCACTGAGAAAAGCCCTGCAGAACTGCTGCTGTTTGCTCACTGCAAGAGAAAAGAAATGGCAAAGAGGACAAAAACAAAGACACGGAAGAGCCGTACTGTCAAATCAGTTCAAGGCAGCAAAACATGCACACTGGACATCAGGGACAAGGAGACAACATAGAAAGCAGAGAACAACAGAAGACAGAAAGAAACAATTAACAGTGTGTGAAATTCTGGTCTGTGACACGTTGGTAAAGCACATCAACTTCAACCGTGCTAGGATTTCACCTTCAGTACTTTAAATTAATCCATATCTACTTTGTGCTATAAGGCGGCTTGTCCTCTACTTCCTTCCCTTCAAAGACACAAAGGCAAAGGGGGTGACATTTCCCATACAAGCTGAGCAAAGCAGAGGCAAACATTAAAGGTCATTACACCACTAAGGAGGTGAGCCCCCGACACAGTCAGACAGGAAAGTCGTACAGAGGTTGCTGTAATAGGTGGGATACACCCGCATATGGCTGACGTGAGCCGAATCCGAGAAGCCTACAGCCTTCACGGAGACGCCGAGCTGCTGCCGGACATCAGCCATGTGCTTAACTTCACTGGCCTCAATGATGGCATCGGCTTCAGAATAGAGGTAAAGCTCAGGCCACCGCGAGGGTGCTTTCAGCAGGGCATCGTAATGGCTCTCGTGGATGAAGCGGGTCAATGGGTACAGCAATATCCGCAGCACAACTGCTGTAGTAGCAAAAGCAAATAAGAGGAAATACTTGAGCAGCACATTCGTGGATACCAAGACAGTTGCCAAGGCACGAAGGCCTCCTCTCAAGTTTCTTCTGCCAGGGGCACTATCAAAAATGGTGCCTGCTACTTTGAGGTTCTTAAATGGCTTGTGAGTGTGGAGAGCCTCAATGATGTAACGGTACAGCATGACACCACCGTTGCTAAAAACATGAAAAAGAACTGGTCTGTTTTCAACACTGTAGTCAAAGAGCAGCTCCAGGAGTTGCCTGGCTGGGGTCTGGAGGGATCTGATGCCAAAGGTCTCTGAGAAGAATATCATCCTCCATGGAGCCGTGTAGCGGATGACAGTGCACCCCTAAGAATAGAAAGAGACCCCACAAACATTAAGGCTTTGCTACAAATTACGTGGAGTACACAAGCATCAGTACAAAGAATGTGAAAATTTGGGACAGGTTAACAACAGAAACCACAGAACCAGAAGAAAATCCTTAGCTTCAGTAGCAAGGCACCAATATGAATAGGATTATATTAATCATAACAGCACACAGTATTACTAAAAGGTTTCTGCAGTAGCAGAGGCCTGGATTTGATGATGTCTGAGATCCTGTCAAATCCTGGGCTAACTGGCACAGCCCCTGGGGCCACGGCCACCCAATCTTTTATAACAGTTAGTCTTCACCCAGGAAGAGAAAACTATCTCCCTAATTGTCAAACCTTCAGTATCAGCCATTTTGTTAAGAAAGTCCTGCTCTGGTACATATCTACTTCATGATACTGAAACAACTACAAGAAGGAGGAGGAAATTCTTCCTGACCTTGGGTAATACTTGTTTGCAGCTGTCTCTAAGACTCACCCACAAACAACACTGACATGACTTTCATAGGCCTTTCTGAAACACTCCAGCTCTGCAAATGAAGAGCACTGGTTCAGATTCAGAACACCTGAGCAATTTACAGTTAAGGCCTTACATTTACATGCAGACTGAGAAACAGGATATTGGAAGAGTTTCTAAATAGAACAGATGGAAGTACATTATAAAAGCCTTAATCTTTTCTATCACCTTAATTTACTGATGCTACACAGTGACAAACACAAGGCAAAGCCACCAAGACAGCCCTCATGCCTAGAGCTCCCTAAAGAGTGAAAAAGGAAGAGGAGGATATCAGGTTCTTAAAGTCTTCTATACCATCTCGCCATGGTTGCAGCCACTTCCTCATTAGGGAGCTGAGAAAACCCTTTCTTTCCTTCCCCGTTCCTATCATACTTCTGACAGAAAAGTATTTCCAAAAAAGCTGGCATGCTGCTGTGTAATGTGCTCCTCATCTGCCCACCATCATCTCTTCATCACAACAGTTACTTAACAATTAATTCTTCACTAAAACATGGCAATTCATGACTCTTGCACTAGATCACACATTGTACTTGTTAACGTACAAACTCTAGCTGAAACAGATTTGGATAAACACAAGTTCCTCGTAAGCTGACAGTTAAAAGAAAAGTCTAAAGTTTTACTGGGTCCCCATACTACAAGCTGCAGCCATTCCAGTAAAATGCAGTATTAGAAAGGAAAATAGCATAACTTTGGGAACTAGCAATCAGACAGATCTCTCCAGTTCAAACACAAGGAGTTCCTAGTGAGCAGGTATGACTATCATAGGATGCCTGTTTCACAGACAGGATAAAATGAATTTGGATTACAACACTGAGATGAATCATCTTCACAGAAGGAAAAGCTGAAGGAACAACAGATGCTGACATGCTCTTGCAGCCCTCAGCCTGGCCTCACCAAGTCTAAGCTGTGGCCTATTAGCAAGCAGTAAATGCATAATCTTTTCCCACATGTTTACCTGTTTGGTCATTCCTGAATAATCTCACAACTTTAAGTGCCTTAAAATACTTCAGTGATTCACATTAACAGCAGCAATTTTCTCCAAGGAAGTATTTTTGTTACAGCTGCACGCACAAAGATGACATCAGCAACTGTTAGATAACGCTGCCTGGGCTCTGAGAGACAAGGAGCTTTCAATGACAAGGGAACTCACCCCTCACTCCCAATGACTCTTCAGACTGAGAGAGGCTTTAGAGTCATTTTACCAACATGCAGAAAGAGGCAGTTTCTCAGAGAGCTGTATGATAGTGTCATGAAAATATAAATAAGCTACTCACCTTCTGACTATAGATTGTGCTGTATTTGGCTAGGTATTTGTCCTTGCAGCCTGCCCAACCTAGAAGGATCACCACAGGCTGATCATCTGCATGCCCTCTCTCTGTACTGCTGTCTAGAACAAATCACAAGATTTAAAATAACTCTCCTCCAGTCTACCCGAATCAGAACTTATGGCAACTTGCCTGGTTAATAAAGTTTAAAGATAACAGTGAAGCAGGTATTAGCTTAATTTCTCTGTTAGGACTGTCTCATCCCTCTGTGGGCACGCTCAGCAGCACAGCACAGTTTCAATCCCCGCAGCTTCACAAAGCTCTACACTGATGCAAAAAACAGAAGCGTGCAGATGGCTACGGGGGGCAAAGACCCCCTCCTCACGCCTCCCGCGACCTGCGGAGGCGCCACAGACCGGAGCCCGCTTCCAGGGGGGAACGGGAAGCATCCTGCCCTGCCCTCCAGGAACTACCAGACACCTGGTACGGCACAAGTGTCCCCACAGCTGCCTCCCTCCCTCCGTGTCCTGACGGGCCCGATCCCTCCATCCTCCACCCACAGGGGTCTCCCCAGGCCTGGTTACCCCTTCCACCCTCAAGGGGTCCTCCAGTCCCTCCTGCCACCGGGGTTCCCCAGGCTGCCCGCCCACTTTCCCCCAGCCCTTCACGCTCGGGGCCCCCCAGACCCGCTCGCCCCGCACCGCGGGCCGCCCCCGGCGCCAGCTCCACCGCCGCCTCCAGCCCGCGGACGCCCATGGC